CCCTTTAGTCATTTCTTAACAAATTCTTCTTTCCCACTTTTAGGGAAGGACTGTTTTTTTCTCTTGTCCTCAGAGTCAGCACGTGTGTCCCCTTTTCCCATGGAGGTGCCTGTGTTTCTTCAGATTTCAGGTGTGATCTTAGTTCTCTGCTGGGTTCAAGAAAAGTTATAATTTGGTGGATTATCCATATTTATTATTACTGGAGTGAGAGTAATATTATTTTAAGTTTTCTGCGTCACAAGTAGAATGTAACCTCACTGAATTAAACAAAAACCAAAATTATGCCACCTTCAGTGAAGGATGCCAGTTTATAAGTTTATGGGATAAAGACATATTTTGGAACTGGAGTAAAGGGTGAATTGAGTTTCAAAAAGCATAAGGGGCCTGGCATGGAACATAGCTATATACTGTGAAGGTGAGCCAGGTCATGAGATGGAAGCATCAGGAGATTTGGAGGAGTAAGACAGGGAGGTATTATAAGATGTCCTTTTGTCTGAGTGAGTCAACAGTGGAGAGTAGGGTGAAAAAAGATCAGAAATATTTTTAAACAGCACATCCATGTGTTAAGGTTCACTGACTACCATAAGGGAAAGATGTTATGTTTCCATTGTGAGGAGACTAAAAATGAGGAATTTAGGAGCCTCTGAGGAGGTGAACAGCTATTGCTACCTTTGTGCAACTCAGACCAGTAGTTAGCATGTATGGGCACGAAACAGAATCAAACAAAGCAAAACTACCTACTATTTCAAAAGACAATCAAATGGTACACCCGGCTGGTTATAGTGTGCATGAGTGATAAAAGTGGTTCTTATAAAAACAACTCATAGTTAATACGGTTATTATATAGAATGAGATACATAAAACTGCTTTGTACAATACAAAGTGGAATAAAAATGTGAAGTCTTAGTATTATCAATATTGCTATGTCTAGGAGTGAATACAGCTTGGCATATGTCTCAGAATAAGCTCATACAATCCACATCCAGTCGGAAACTGATAATGTTGTTATGAAAATACTGCGATGCTGATTCCATTTTGGCAATTTAAATAGCTTGTGACAAACTGGTTGACGTCCTGCCTTCACTGTTAAGCTTTTCCTAATTTCTCTGATTCTCAGTGATGATTTCTAATTTCCCTGAATTCTTCTTGAGCCCAGACCTCTGCATGTCGTACTAAACCACATATATAGTACGTGACAAGGTAAGATTTTGAAAGCTGTGCTCTTCTTCTCTCTGCTCTTTATTGAATTTCTTCTTTCTGTCCAGAGAGGAAGATACTAGTCATTCATTGCCTAAGGAAAGCCCATGACAGTGGAAACTGAGAAGCGTCAAATTCCTTTTACTTAAGCTTTAGAAGTTGACTCCAGAAAAGGTATGGAGCCATACCTGATACAGTTGTTTCAGTCTGTGAGCGGCTTGGTCCACGCCTGGTCTGTACTTGGGTTCACTCTGTCTTTACCTGAGTGTCCATTGATTCAGTGTTGAGGGGCTGTTGCCATTCTCATTCTTGACCAGTGAGGATGGCGGCCAGCAGATCCAGTGCCATTCAGCAGAAAACACACCCTTTTGGTCTCAGAACTACTCAGCTCACATTATAAATCTCTCCATGTAGACAGTTAAACTTTTAATGGACCAGAGTCCTTCAGACCCCCCAAAAGGGAGAATAGGCTTTGGATATCTAAAATGGTAATGGTGATATGAAAAGCTAGATCCTTCGAGCCTCTCCCTTGCCTCCCATTTCCTGGCCCATATATCAGAGCAAATTGAAATCAGAGAAAATGGGCTCAGATCCATTTCCTCACCCTGTACAGCCTAGACAGGAGAGCAATTATAGGAGTTACGTATGAATTTCTGTTTCATATTAATCAATCATTTTCTTGAGGTTAGTATCACCTTTTTTTGTTTTAAAAATGAATACATTGTATCAAGTGGGACACTAAAGTATCTAACGAACATTTGGAAGACTGATACTAGAGGCAATGTGGTGAATATACTGGAAAGAGCACCACCTTCCATGGAAGAGGCAATCAGAAAATGGATGTCGGGC